AATCTACTTTTCAATCATAATTGTTCTTTTTCAGCTCTGCTATCTTTACACCGCTCTCTGTGGATACGACACTCGGACTTCTGAGCTACACTGCTATACGACACCTCCCTTGGGTTTTGCAAAGTGGTGCGAACAACAACAATAGATGAGCAATAATAACACAATAAAAGGGCAATAGATGAGCAATAATAACACAATAAAAGGGCAATAAAAAGGCAATACGTTAACCTGAGTCCAATTTCAACTCTATAATTGCAACGAGAGGGGAAAAAAAGGTGCAAAGACAACAATAGAAGAGCAATAGGGACACAATATAAGGGCAACAAGAAGGCAATACGTAAACCTGATAGTCCGACTTCAGCTTTATAATTGTTCAGACATAGGTGAAAAAAGAGTTAAGACAACAATAGAGGCACAATAAGAAAGCAATAAAGGGCAATAATAACGCAATACATAAACTTGAGTTTATATTGCTAGGCTACTTATTAGCTAAACATATACATATGCAGTTTCTCTATCCACTCTAGTTTCATGGTTACTAATTCATGAAACCACAACTAATAAATAAGAAATAGCTCATCACATCAAAGCACAACTAATATCCAATTCCACTCCTATTACAACAATGATTATGTGGTGGAACAAAACTGGTGGCGCATCTGCATTTCTCAAAGCCATCTTCTAACAGTGTAGAAACCAGTAGCTTCTGTCCAATCTCGAACCTCCAAGTGATGAGCTATGTTATGAAGGTGATATTCACTCGCATGTGTAGTTCCACACTACCCGTTTCTGCAACATTCCCAATTACTTTTTATTCACCAAAGTATGACAACAAAACTTAAGATTGAGAAAAGTGTAAGTATAAACATTAAGTTAAAGTCTGTGAGTCTCTCACATTTGTAATTGGAATCATTTAGTTTCTAACATTTGGTATTGTATGACCAAAGCTTCCTACATAAATTACAGTTCTTCTCACAAGACATTCATGCCCCCTTACATACGAAATTCCTACTGCAAACACAATCAAACCATTCAAACTTCATACTATGTGCATTGTACACCCCTTGGTTTCTATATCATACGAAGTTAACTTGCCACATCCATAAAACCAACGCAAGCAAATGAAAATTGAGAATCAAAATATAGTTTTCCGTATCAATTGTCATCGATGACTATGAAACTATGGGAATTCGTAATATCCTAAACATTAATCACTTACTAGATGACCAAATTTGATAGCTCTGCAACTTTTGCCCTACGCTCACCTAGATAACCTACAAAATGAAAATGGCAAGTGCATAAAAATTCCTAAAGATCAGTTACTATCAAGTACGATGTGTATAATCTATTAAGAGAATGACCAACTACAATATTATTGGACATTATTTCGAAACTTCATCAAGGAAAGTTGATCATTATTTAGAAATTTGACATTATAATTTGGAAACTTCACCAAAAACTCAGCAAATTTCATTATTTATAATAGGACATTATTCACAATAGTTTTTGCAAAAATCAACTCAGCAAAGTCCATCGAGAACCAGTATATCCAAACTTTATTATAATTTTATAGCATTTTAAATCAAGACACAAATACACAAATTAAGACTTACATACCCGGTAAAATGATATAACATTGGACCCATGATATTGTGGGAATCAACACAAAACTATCAAAGTTCTCCAGAAAAGGGACCAATATTCACAAATAAAGAATCCCAGCAACTGAAACCCAATTAATTACTTGCAATTGGTGATGAATCTCTGTAGTTGGGTGGGTCATGTGGTGGCTTACTAATTATGTACAAGAAAGATTATGCACAAAAAAGATTGGATAGACCCATTTGCTGTATTCTGAGACTAGAAAGAAAAGCTGCACACCTCATTCTCATCAGATTGCATCCTAATACCCACAACTTTGATAAGTTGAAGCATACAAAGAAGGCTCATTTGAATTTAATTCTTTTCTGATTTCATGTAAAAGACACTTTCTACACACCCCACATACTGAATTTTTGAAATTATGTGAAAATACAAAGAAGCCAAATTGATGAAGGTTCTCAACGACAACAATCTTCCATAAGGCAAAAATCTAGGTCCAACTGTCATTAAAAAAAAAAAATTGTCAAATATCTCAAGAGAAATAAATATTACAAAAAATGGACAAGATATTGGAGCAAAGAACCATCCAATATGAAAATATGGCAGAGAAAGATTATCCCAAAAATTTGAAGAGATAGAAGTCCATGGAGATGCCCGAAAGCGAACCATCTACCACAGATAATCTATCTCCTCACCCTTTACATTCTCAAATATCATTCTACTCTTCCTAGAACCCTACCCTTCTTTCTTCCACCAAAAAAATATGGCTCTTGCAACTATAGCCACGCACTCAGCCTGAATGGAGAAGAGAAATAAATATTACAAAAAAGGACAAGATATTGGAGCTAAGAACCATCCAAAATGAAAATATAGCAGAGAAAGATTATCCCAAAAATTTGAAGAGATAGAAGTCCATGGAGATGCCCGAAAGCAAACCATCTACCACAGATAATCCATCTCCTCAACCTTTACATTTTCAAATATCCTTCTACTCTTCCTAGAACCCTACGCTTCTTTCTTCCACCAAAAAAATATGGCTCTTGCAACTATAGCCACACACTCAGCCTGAATGACCCAACACATAGCCTACCTGACAGCCTTAACCACAGTAAGGGGTTTTAGCAAGCCAAAAAATAAAAAAATTCCCACAAATTCCAGATTTTCAATTATATTAAAATACAAAAATAAGCACAAGACTAATGTTTAAGGCTGATAGAATCTTCCAATTGAATTGAATTATCTGATATTCTAGTGCTACAACATTCACAGGCTGATCTGATGCCACAAAAATAAGAAAAGGCTCTGACTTTGTAGTCATCTACAAGATATATGCTTATTTATGGGTTTATGCGCGGTATCCAGGTACACTGTGGCAGATACTGAGTTGGAGGCTTCTAAAAAGGTTACAGATTTTCAAGTATGCTTGCATACCAAAAGAAAACCAACACAATCAAACTAAATCAAGGCAGCCAACTCAAAATTTCCAAAAACCAAACAAACACATATATATAACAAAATCATAGCACTTTCAAAATTTGGAACCCACAACAAACAATACTCACAAACATATATAACAAAATCAATCACAACAAGACCTATTTGCATCCATATTAAGTTTTGATAAGGCAAATGCAACAAATTCGAATTCAAAATTCATACACTTCATATAAAGAATTTCAGCAGAAAACATATATGAAAGCATATTAAGAATTACTATATCAATACTCAACAAAAACCTACATGATACGAATTGAAAATAACAAAAGACTAGCATACCTCAACCATTAGCAACACTAAACAAAACCCACCAAAAACTCCAATACCTCGTTAGTTAGAAAGAGAAAATTCACTCCCTTTCGCAAAGCCCAAAACACTATTAACGAAAATCATATTTTGTCAAACACTCAAAATCCTATATCAGCACCACTCAAATTCCCATATAGAAACACCACAATTAAGCAATTAAAGCATAACACTCCATACGCATGTGTGTGTGTGTATATATATATATGAGATAGAGAGAGAGGGCGTAGCGAAAAATGGAGCCCATGAATGCCTCGCCAGCGGAGTCTCCGGCAAACTTGAGAAGGCAGACATCAGGGCCATTGGAGGAGGTGGGGACTAACCAATTTGAAGAATTAGGGTTAGGATTAAGGTTTGGATTGGTATCGAGCTCAGTGTTAGTGTCTGGGTCAGGCTTTGGAGAATCCATCGACGTCGTCGCCGTGGCTGCTACTCTCTCTATTTTCTATAAAGTCATGCCTGGGCAAGATTTGGGAGAATGCGAGAGAAGAGAGGAATAGGGAGAAATTGGGTTTTAGAAAATGAATTTTTGAGGCAATAAAGGGTCAATACATATTTATTTATATGAAGGGCAATTGGGTACTTTCATGTTACAAAGTGAGTATTTCTGATTGAAATTTATAAAGTGAGTATATTTGATTATGGTTTATCTTTTGTGATTATCTATGTCAATTTCCCAAAGTAATTAGCGTTTAAATTGATATGCTTATTCTTCACTCAAGGAGGGATATATATACTACATAGAGTGGGTGCAAATAGGAAATATATAAAAAATCTCATAATTATACTCAAATTAGATAATTACAATAAAATACAAATTCTATTCCTAATAGTAACGTTGACTTTGACTCACGCTTAACACTCCCCCTCAAGTTGGTGCATAGATATCGGTAATAGCCAACTTGTCAAGTGAGTCTTTGTCACATCCCGGATCGGCTCCGCCGTAGCACGATATTGTCCGCTTTGGGCCCCTGCCCTCATGGTTTTGTTTCTGAGAACTCACGAGCAACTTCCCAATGGGTCACCCATCTTGGGATTTTACAACAGAACCAACTATACATTTCAGATCTATCACAATTCTAAATCCGATAAAAACACATTGAAACATTATCACTTTCTTCCCAAGGCATCGTATTAAGAAGACATCACAGGCTTGGACTAACTCCGAAGGGCATGGGCAAAACAAACTCCGAAGGGCCTGGACAAACTCCGACGGGCCTGGGCAAAATAAATCTCCGAAGGGCCTGGGCAAAACAAACTCCCAAACATAAAACCCATAATCGGGGGGGGGTGTACCTAAAGTAGTGCTAATAACACTCAAATTAACATTCTAAGTACCCCACACAAAATCAACAAACATAGCACTTTCTCAATTATTATATATAAACTCAAGACACTCGAATATGTCAAACCCACATGTATCACAATTACTTTACAAAAATAAGGAATTCAACTATTAAATATATAAGCATTTAAATAAACCATTAAATTCAAAAACATAAGATTTCCATAATAAAACCACACAAATAAAACTCCTAGACCCACATAATAAACATAAATCAAATGACAGTCAAGACTCAACCAAAAGGGTCGTTCTAGTACTCCTTGAAGAGTGAAACTACCTCGGAAGACTTACGGTCAACCAAGGGTCAACTGCCCCAAACCTGGTCAACCGGGTCCGCGGGACCCACGACCTCTGTTTTACTATCCGAAAGTTCCTATGGGTTCCACAAGGTCTAGGATACACGTTCCGCAAGTTTGGTCCGGATCAAACGGTCGAATCGCTCGCGATCGCATGATCGGACGGTTATCGTAAAACACAAACTTTAACTTATTAAATCGGAACATCCGGGGCTCCGATTCCCGATCCGCGAATTCCTACACGATCCTAGGAATACAAGGAACAACATATAAGAACTTGGAAGCAATCCAACGGTTCTAACATATTGAACCTGGATAACACACGATATGTAAAATCCGTTCGGGGTTCAAACGTTATTTGAATTGAGATCCGTAAAATCTTACGCGCTCGTGACAACCAGGGGATTGCATTTGGACAAAAATGCCCCTCTGATACAGTGCCCACGCGCCGCCACACGCGCGTGCGTTTCCAAAGTGATATCGCATTGCCGGAAAATCTTAGAACCTCAGGCCAAGACTCATACCATAGGTAATACACCTAATTTGGAGCCACTTTTGTTCTTGGACATACCTTAAAAAGTGGCCTGAAGTGGCCGGATCGGAGGTCAAAAATTGGCAGATTTTCTATCGCTTATTGAACCAATTAAACACAGAAATTTCTTAAACCTAATACAACCAGCAGCTAGATCACGTCGAGAGGTTAGAAAAACATACCAAGATCGCAAGATTTGGTTGTCGGAATCACCCGAACGAGCTCCGTGAAGTTTATGAAAATTTTGGCCTTTTTCTGCAATTTTCGGCGAATTCCAGCGGCGGTGGCAGCTGGGCTTGGTTGGGGTTCGGAAGAGGAAGACCAGCTGGTCGTTTTGGGACCGGTCCCCGCTCCGGTGGTGAACCGTGGAGGTGACGGTGGCTCAAAGAAGCCACCGGTGAACAGTAACAGCGAAAGATATAGGGGGGGTGGTTTGGCTGCCGCACGGGAGAGAGAGAGAGTGAAATGGGAGAATTTCTGATTTTTATTCAAAATTAAATTTTGAAATAATTACGGTTGTGCCATTGAGAGTTTTTAGATCGTATCTCTCTCGTTACAACTCCGATTCAAGCCTACTGCATGTCTATGGACTCGTCTCAGTACGACATACGTAAAGGTACCAGCCACTGCCCCGAAATCCTCCCGGATTAAAAATAACCAAATTACCCCTACTCTGAGGGCAAAATTGAAAATTCATAATTCTTGAAATTAATTAATTCACTATTCCTTTTATTTTGGATCGGGATATTACAGCTTGTAAGGGAAATTATGGACTCTATACTGACAAGGACCTTTTTACAAATATGCTCTCCTACCTTACCACTGTTACATTGAGAAAAGAAGAAAGACCAGCGAGCAACTGTTTAGAGAAGGAGGAGAAGAAAGAGTCGTGGAGGTGGATGATGTGGGATTGGGTTTTGTAAATTGTAATGCTTTTTGGCAAAAAAAATATATATATATATATATTAAAAGGAAAGGAAAACTAAATAAAAAATTTGAGTGGGTTTGGGGAGTGTAAAAGGAGTGTTTTTATCAGTTTAAATGGGTTTGGGTGAATGGTTTCACGTGGGTGAGTGGGGGCATGTGCACCCAGTGGGCCTATGCTGGCTCCGTATAGTATTGTATTTACTCGAGCTCAATGTCCATGGTGCATGCATTCATGTGAAATTTGTGGTTGGCAAAAGGGGGCTTGGCAAAGTTGATGGACGTTTTTGGGTGTTATGCACGAAAGACTACTTGTTGGCACTTCGAGTTGCTGAGTAATAGTGGATACCGTTATTTGTTAGCACCCAAAATACACAAAGAATATGGACAATTTGCTAAGTCTATCCTTGTGTTCACTGATTAGATCCATGAGCATTAAAGTCCTCCTTTTGAAATTGCATTATTATTCAAAATTGGAATTTGCTGGTGATAGTTTATATATATATATATATATATATCAAAAGGCAGAGAATGGTAAAACATTTAAAATATATAAAAAAAATGTCATTGGTTAATGCAAATATTAAGAATTAAAACTATTAATTAAATGAGGATAATATGGTAAATTCACACTTTTTTATATTTAAAAAATTTAAAAAAAAAATCAAATAATGAATCCTATTTTTATGGAACACAACAACTTGTTTGGTTCATTTTTACACATGATTTATCATGTTATTCACCTAATATTTTGAGTTAGTTCTTGACATTTTATAGCTTTTTACTTCCTTTTTGTATTTTCATAGGTTTTACCTTGGTTAGAATGAAAATGAGCTAAAAGTGCATTATTGGTTATAAATTCTAATTTTGTTCATTTTCGTAGGTCAACTTCTTGGCCTTGGATCAGCATGCTCTGTTGCTCGGATGAGGTGAAGATCTTCATGAAACTTGTTCCAATGGATGTTAACTACATCATATCCAAATTTGAGCCCCATTGGTCAAGTATAGCATATCCAACTGATCTTATATGTTACAGCAGCTCTAGAGATTTGTCTTGGGCCAGTTTTTACCTCCATAGTGTCATCTTGATTCTTCTTGTTACCAT